ATTACAAAGATATATGCAATGTATTTTACTGTAAATAAAATTTTATCGTCTAGACAATAGTCTAGTCAATCTGGTCCCTACCACCCACTAGCTGGCGTTCCAGCTTTCATGGTGGGCAGTAGAGGTTTGCTGTAACTCTGCTTTATAGATTTTATAAAGTAAAGTTACTTCCCTACTTTATAAATCACCATTACTGTGGAACCGGTGGGCAGTTAGAAAGTTTTACTACTAACAGAGATACAAAAGTGAGCGGTAGGTATAAAAAGATTGACTACCCCTGATCTAGACCAAGGGTGGGGATCTATGGCCCTTTCCACAAATCCTAAAGGGGCCACCTTTGATCTAGACAGTGGCAGAATCTCAGGTAGCCTTGAACAAGAAGAGTCCCTTCACTGTGTATCTGACTGCTTATACAAACATCAATCTTATCTTGGAGGGCAGGAGATAGAATCTGGTGGACTGAATGGTAGAAATACTTGCAGAATCATTAGCAGATGGACTACATCTCCAGATTATTGTGTTCAGGCTTTCTTTTACAAGTAGGCAGGAGAGTTTAGGGAATTAAATGTCTGAATCAGTACAATGATACCTATTGATTTTTAAATGATAGTTGAACTTCTACTATAGCAATAGTAATACTACGTAGACTTATATACTTCCCCATGGTGCTTTACAGCACTCTCTGAGCAATTTAAAAGGTCGGCATACTGCCCTCATAATCTGAGTCTTCATTTTACTGACCTTAGAAGGATGGAAGGATGAGTTGATCCTGAGCATGTCAGGCTCGAACTCTTGGCTGTGGGCAGAGTGAGCCTGTAATACCACATTCTAACCACTGTGCCACCATATATATTATGTTTCCTCTAAAAGCACAGGTAACAAACTTGCAGCATTACATTGCAATCACATGATGTATCACAACGTTTTTCCTTTCATGGAGCTGGGGTGGGCGTGGCCTGTCTGTGACTCATCCTGCCTGTGGGCTGCCAGTCTGACACCTCTGCTCTAAAGGAAGAAACCTCCAAATTTAAGATACCCCTCATCCCCCCCCCCCCAAGATTAGACAGAAGTTATGAAAACCCTTCATCTATCTTTTTTTTAACCATATTTTCAGTTAATGTAAAATGTAATTGATTTGGGGAGCAAAATCTATTCTTCCTTCCATCTTCCTTTTCAGGGAAATATAACCCACAGCATCTCACTACTAGCCTCAATTACAGGCATTTCTCTATTATAATTATAGTAGCAATTAGTAAGATATATATCCCTGCAGTTCCATGGCACTGTGGACATAGCTTTGAGAATTATTTGAAACCAAAGCTCTCTTGCACTTTGTGCAGTGACAAGTCTTAATTTATACCTACAATCACTATAACAGCATATTTATTAAGCAACATAACTTGTAATTATTGACTGTCACTACCATTCCATACCTGCAGGTCCTGTTTTCCATTTGACAGATTGAACACAGTTATTCTTTCCCTTTTCAAACAGGGTAACACAATCGGCTTTATCAACAATTCTGCTTATATCGTTGTTGCATAACATTTATGTTGTGTGTTTTAAAAGCACAAAGTGGACATTTTGTTCTGTTGGATCTCATTGAATTCCACAGGATCCTAAATGTTCAAGTGGATATCCTGGATGGTTTCTTTACCTAAGAAGGCAGGAAAATTATAGCAGTTAAAACCTTATATATTTATATGAAAGGCAGAGAACAAACATTGAAAATAAATTGCACAAAAAGAGCTCTGTCATCTTTCTTAAAAGCAGAAATTATTATAATGGCAAGTTCACCACTTAGAAAGATCAAATGCAAATGTTTAAAGAAAGAGTGCGGGCTACGGAAAGTTGTGTGGGCTTCAGACATCGGAAGGAAGGACTTTAAGATATATAGATCCTTTGCCTTAATTAGGAAAGTGGACTACTGGATTAGCCTTATTAGCATAAGGACAGCTGATACATTCACCACAGAAAAATTAGGGTAAAAAAGTAAATAACATTGAAACGATACATGCCATATAACTGACATAGGAAAGACAATTAAGCTGTAAGAAAGAAAGAAGAGTTCTTAGTAAAACTTGCAACCTATAATAATACATGGAATTAATAGAAATAAACGAACGATTAGCTAACTAAAGCATTCTGAAAAGGTTTCAGAGGATGTGGATAAGACTCATATTAGCAGACTCAGCAGGGTAAGAACTGTTATAAAACACTGTGGCTACTTTAAGCATAAGTGTCTTAATGACTGGCTGGTATGACTAGGTTTAGTTTATAATTGTCATTGTAATTGTATTTTTAATATTATGACTAGTCCATATGTATCTGACCTCAACCAATTATAAAAATAATTTACACTTTAATTAATTATTTAATGTAGTAAACTTATATACTGCCCATCTCGCCTAGTCTATAATGTGTAGAATTAGACCGATCCTAACTTACCCTTTAGCCATAAACTATTATCTTTGGTAGGAATGACATAAGGGGAGTTTAAATCAACAAATAATTTTCCAAATATTCATAGCGCCCAAATAAACAGTACATTAAATATATCATGTCTGGTTATCTGCCTTTTTTATCTTCATTCAAAAGTGCCCATTTGCAGGCAGTAGGAGAATACAAGTTATGGAAATCAATGATCCGGGAAGGGAAGGAAAAATTTATGATATGCTTCCTTAAAATTCAGAAATCCAACTTTTTGAGAACTTTTTCAGACCAGTTGAAATACTTGGAAAAGAATGGAAATATGGAGATAGATTGAAGGATTATAAATTAGTGGTTTTAGGTGGACAACATTTAGTGGATTTATACAAATAAAAAAATGTATCAGAAGACAATTGTCCTAATGAAAATTAAGTAGGCTGTAAAGATAATTTAATATTCTAAACAGAGCAAAACAGCCTTCACCAACCTTGTGCCCTCCAAATGTTTTATGCTACACTCGAGTTAGGTAATTGTAGTTCATTACATAGGAAACATATCAGACTGAGGAAGGCTTGACCAAAAAAATGTATATCTGCACTTAAATGTACAAATTATATAATGTAAGCCCACTGCTATATTCATATACATTATTTCTGAAGTTTTTCATGCAACTACACTCTTACCATTATATTTAGTGCCTCCTGTATCTGTTTAAATAGCATGTTATTTGCTCTGTGGATAGGGACGCGGTGGCTCAGTGGCTAAGACACTGAGTTTGTTGATCAGAAAGGTCGGCAGTTCGGCAGTTCAAATCTCTAGTGCCACGTAATGGAGTGAGCTCCCATTACTTATCCCAGCTTCTGCCAACCTAGCAGTTCAAAAGCATGTAAAAATGCAAGTAGAAAAATAGGAACTATCTTTGGTGGGAAGGTAACAGAGTTCCATATGCCTTCGGCGTTTAGTCATGCCAACCGCATGGCCACAGAGATGTCTTTGGACAGCGCTGGCTCTTCGGCTTTGAAACGGAGATGAGCACTGCCCCCTAGAGTCAGGAACGACTAGCACATATGTGCGAGGGGAACCTTTACCTTTACCTTTGCTCTGTGGATATATAAAAGGAACAAAATGCAAACTTTCCAGTTTCTGTGTTGACAAAATAGACAAGTACTTCGACAGAATTAGAAATCCAGAATTTTAGNCTTAGAGAGGGCTGAAAGCCCTATGAAGCGGTATATAAGTCTAACTGCTATTGCTATTGCAAAAGCAGACAAAACCTCTTCAATGTCTTTGGGGCAAAAGACTATGTGGAATCTACTGCATCAAACCTTGAAATTAATCAGGTTTGCTCGAACCATGATTTAGAAGTCGGGCCACATGCCTTCCTGGGAGAGAAAGCCCCCTTCCCCACCCCACAAGCATCTCTCTAGGATCTAGACTTATCCAAAATGGTTCTCCTGCTTGAGCAGGGGGCTGGAGCTCCAAGACCTCCAAGGCCCCTTCCAACCCATTCTATTCTATTCTAAAATTTAACCCAGTATTTCCCATTCAGGGCAGCTTTAAGACAAGTGGAATTGAGGGGACCTTGGTGTTCTTTGAGTTTGGTTGTTGTCTTGCAGACGTTTCATTACCCAACTAGGTAACATCATCAGTGCTAGAAGGGAGTGGGAGAGGAAGAGGAGGATTGTGGGGTCCCTGGGTGATCTCTGAGCTCGATTGTTGTCTTGCAGACAGCTAGGTAAGATCATCAGTGTTACAAGGGAAGGGGGGGCTGCAGAAGGAAGGAGGAGAACTGTGGGGTCCTCGGTTTCTCTCTGAGCTTGGTTGTGATTTATGCTGAGGTTTCATGACCCAACTAGGTAACTTCATCAGTGCTAGCGAGGAATGGGATTCACTCACAGTTTACATTCTAGTGCCTTGCCCTGTCAATGTTGTTGGGACCAAGAAGCCGACTTCAATCCAACCCCCAGCTACCAATAGCCTCCGTTACCCACACAGCTGGACTTCAACTCCCAGAATTCCCCAGGAAGGAACCCTTCCCCACCCTCAGCCGCTTTACAACTGGGGGATTCTGGGAGTTGAAGTCCATCCGGCTTAAAGTTGCCAAGCTGGAGGAAATCCTGGTGGAAAAGGAAGAAAAACCAATATCGACCCAACAGCTAAGAAAAAAGAAGCCTCGAACCCCACCCCCCCGCACAGGTGGAGGGGGTAGGAAGCGGGGGCTTTGAGCCCCCCAAAAACTATGGACCCCCCCCCAAAAAAAACAGGTGCGGGAGGGCGCCTAGGAGACCGAGGACCCCCGACTGCTCCGAAGGGGCTTCTTCCGGGGGTCTCTTTCTCGTTGGGGCAGGGCTGGGGTTGGGGGCTTGCCGAAGGACCCCGCGGGGAGCCAAGCCGGCTCTCCCGCAGACCGGACTCACCTTCCACCGGTTACTCGACCGATCGAGATGCGGAAGCGGAAGGAGAACCGGAAGGGGCGGGGCCGCGGCCAGAAAAGGAGGGAGAGACGAGAGGGGATCTTCTGCGCATGCTCATCGCTTGCCTTGGAGTGAGAGCGGCGCTGTCTGCTGTCCGCATCGGGATCGCCGGAGGTGCTCGCTTTCCTCGCCTTTCCCTCTCTTTTGGGGAAGAGTCGTCTAGATTTGGGGTGAGTTGGGAAGGAGGGAAGGGGAAACGAGCCTGGGGTTGGATGGAAGGGCGTGGTCATTGTGTATGGGGGTGGGTGGGCAATAGAGCTGGAAGGGGTCTTGGAGGTCATCTAGTCCAGCCCCCTACTCAAGCAGGAGACCTTATACCAATTTTATATAAGTGGCGTCTCTAGAGTCTTCTTAAAAAGCATCCAGTGATGGAGGCGGAGGTGGGATGGGGTGAGGCTCAAAATGTTGGAAGGGAAACAGAGTCTTCCCCTGGAGCCTTCCTTTGGACTACAGTACCCATCGTGCCCGGGCAAGGAGGTATTTCCAGTCTCTCTCTCTCCCTCCCTCCCTCCCTCTCTCTCACACACACACCTCTATCTATCTCTTATCTATCGTATATATGTCTATATATTCTAAGAATATAGAATCCTTAGAATATAGAACATAGAGTAATAGGATTGGAAGGGACCGTGGAGGTCCTCTAGTCCAGCCCCCTGCTGGAGCAGGAGAACCTTTATCTAACTGGATAAATGGCTTTCTGGTCTCCTCCTGAGATCCTCCAGTGAAGGAGCTCCCACCCCCTCTGGAGATAACCCTGGAGCGAAACCACATTTGCCCACATTCTCAAAAGAGAGAATGAAAAGGCTAAGGAAAACAGACACACCTCTCCGGTAACTAACATACATGGATTAAGCGGGGATTAAACACCAGGCAACAGGTAGAAAACAAGAGCATATCCAAGGGCAAAACACCCAGCACCGGCAGGTATATAAATAGGGAGCCAGCCCCACACTCCCCAGCACTGATGATGTTACTTAGTTGGGTAATTAAATATGTGCAAGCAAAGAACCAAGCTCAGGGAAGACTCCACTGTTCTGAACTACGGATAATCTCTTGTATTAAAGTATTTGTAATGTCCGGATGGTCAGGCCTACCCACCATTGCTACCCAATTCTGGTTTCAAATGGGACAGAAAGGAAAGGTGATTGGAAATTACTTGCATGGGCTGTATTTATTCATGAAAGTACTTATATATATTGAATGGAGAGCCCATTTCCTCTCTCCCGATCCTTCTGCTGCTTTGAAACCAAGGATCCTTGGCCTTGGGAAATTCACATTCACACACACACACACACACACACGCCTTAAATTACATCACGGAAACCCTAGTGCCTACTCAGTAAACCTAAACCAGAACATTTCACAAAATTGTCACACCCCTGAACTATTAGGAAATAGAGAAGATTCATGTCTCGGCCTATTTTCATGTAGATGTATCCAGGAAGTGGGTGGATGACTATGGAATGGTTAATTAATGAGTCAATTTCAGAAACCAGTCCAGAAGATCTAAAGACAGCATTTATTTTATTTTTTTGATAGCTCTAATTTCTCTCCGGCTTTTTCCTCCAAAACAATCCAGATGGGGACCTTCACGGGACGTTACGAATTCTACGTTGGTTTGGGTTTGGCTGTCACCTCCAGCCTATTTATTGGAAGTAGTTTTATCCTGAAGAAGAAAGGACTTCTTCGACTGAGTGGCCGAGGGGCCATCAGAGCAGGTAAGGGTAGATCTGGAACTGGCTGTGAGAATGAGAAAAGCAGCATTTAAATATCGTTGGGAGTTGGAGTCCTCTTAAGGGTTTGCTAGGAGAATTGTTCTGAGGAATTGGAAAAGCATGATTCCCGACGTTAACGGCAGGATTGGAGGAGGTGTATGTAGTAATTAATCTGTTTTGGAAAAAAAACCCAGATGTATCTTGCTGGTCGAAAAAAATGACGCAGTGTCATGTCTGAAAAAGCTTTCTTGGTTGAGTAGCAAAATGTTTTCAAAGAAAAAATCAAGAAGCAAGAAAAGTTGCCTTTTGGAAAAAGCCGTTGTCTTCCTTTGGTGTAGATTTTATGGGGCTGCGTAAAAGTTGGCAATCATTATTACCTTTCATTTTAAAATTTGGAAGCTTTTAAGTATTGCTTAGAGGGGATGCGGTGGCTCAGTGGCTAAGACGCTGAGCTTGTCGATCAGAAAGGTTGGCAGTTCGGCGGTTTGAATCCCTAGTGCCTCGTAACAGAGTAAGCTCCTGTTACTCATCCCAGCTCCTGCCAACCTAGCAGTTCGAAAGCATGTAAAAATGCAAGTAGAAAAATAAGAACCACCTTTGGTGGGAAGGTAACAGTGTTCCGTGCGCCTTCAGTATTGAGTCATGCCAGCTACATAACCACGGAGATGTCTTTGGACAGCGCTGGCTCTTCGGCTTTGAAAC